TGGTTGAGATGGCTCTTGATCCTCTTGGGTTGACAAAATCTCGGCCAGTGGCAGATCAACAAATGGTAGCGATACTATTCTGCGACCTTCCTTCTTAAGTCCTCTGACTATCACATCCTTATAATCATCAACGTATTGATTGAAGAATAAGTATCGTACGATATCATACTCTCCTTTGTCAACCAATCTTCTTTCAAAGTAAGGAGCTGGGTATACGCCACCTGCCTCACTAATTGAGATTATGGTGTCCAGGTCGAAGACGATGTCTCGGTGGCTAATATCCAATGGGTCTGGCGATACTTCTACTCGGACTGAATGATTGGTGAACATATACTCCATGAATCGAATGTCTGGAGAGGCATTCTCAATCAAGACTCGTTTGAGATAAAAGTCGAATGAGCTCTGAGCGTGCATGTAAATATGGTGCTTGAATCTTTCGCCAGAGATGAATTGCACCATCTCGAGATGGCCATTGAAAATTGCTTGCTCAACGGAAATCATGTAGTTTGCCCTGACCTCTGGCAATTGGCCATTAACACCAATCTTGTCCAGCAGGAACTGGAGGATGTCCACGTGACCGTGTGAAATGGCTCGATCAAACAAGGCAACCGACAAGTCATGCGTAGAGGGTCGGTATCCAACCGTGTCCATGATGAACTTGACAATGTCGAAGCGACCAAACCTGATGGCACCCACCAAGATGCCGTGCTGGATGACTGTGAGTGATTGCAGGCCACCTTTGTGATGAATGAACTCCAATGCAGCCAAGACTACATATCCTGCATCATCGTCGCCAACTTGAGGACACAGGAATGGCACTCCCACTCCATCTTGTGTGCATGCTTGGTAGATATACTCCAAGATGTCATTGTGCTTGCAATATGGCATCATCCTGATGCATACTGGCAAAACTGTTGTCAATGTTGTTTCGATTGATGGATTGGCAACATGTTTGATCAACTTGAAGAAAAGCTTTGATTGATCGAGCATCATCGCACTGCAGAACACTCTGTCATTCAAACATCTGGCAATGTACTCTGTCGACTTGTTGTCAATGATATACTCAATCATATTCATATGAGATACATCGACTTCATTGTATATGTTGTCATCCTCCCATATCTGACTTGGCATCAATCGATCAAGTACCTCCAGGACCTGATGCGATCTCACGCTCATCAGATACGCATAACTGATTCTAAGGCTTGGATACCTCTCGCAAATGAACTGAACTATCTGTGCATGCCCTTGAATGGCTGCGTTTATCAGCGCCTCGTCTGTATCACCTACACTCGGGTCGATGTGATGCAGGTATTCGACCACGGACAGGTGTACCTCGACAACCGCACGCCCAAAGGCAGTTGAAAGGTCGAGGTCCTCGGTGCGATTCTGGTGAAGGAATCTGACAACTTCCAGGTAGCCATTCTCTGCGGCACCAACAATCGCCCAACTTGAACAGCCTTCAGTTCGTTGTTCATGAAGATAGCGCACTGTACCAAGGTGGCCATTCCTCGCAGCTCTGTCCATCACATACTCACAGATGTAAGTATCCGGTTTGTTCTCGAGGAGGTATTGGATGACGTCCAGATGGTCGCTCCCAGCAGCCTCAGAGATAGCACATTCATGGAATGGTAGTCCATTGACATGAAGATACTTGATCATGTTGAGKTTYTCACATGACCAAACCGAGAAAAGACGGAGSAGTCGTAGACATMSAYCAGCATCACCAAGGTTGAKATGATTGATCATTGCATCTGGGATGTGATCAGGATCATTCTTGAATGGCAATGTGATTCCAAACACTTTGATCAAAGTATGTATCATCGACTCGCTTGTCCGATGCCTGATGTTGTCCAASAMTTGGCYYTCCCTGACAAACTCACTGAATGCTCTGAACTCGGGATGTTGTCCAAAGAATTGAATGATGTCCACTCGATCATRTTGAAWGGCAACWTTTGCAAGTTCATAGAATACCTCGTTGAGATGTTGGAAGTATCGYTGATGMACCCATTCAAGTATGTGGAGGTGTCCACCGATGACTGCATGACGAGTGAGTGATCGCAACTTKGGAATGAATGGTGCACCATCAATCTCTGACCATTTGTGACGGTTGTATCTCTGTTCRATTGATAGACACAGTTKTTTGAGTGGCTCCAAGTATCCAMACWRTGCCAACATATCAACTGATTGAATCAGATCATTCCATTGATGTGTTTGACTGTCTGAGTATTGTACTCGATGTATCTGTTTGACATGTCCAAAGATCAATCGTCTCACAACCTGATTGTTGATAATCTGATTGAATCGTCTTTGTTGTTGTAGTTGTGAGGTGCTTTGATCGTTGACCATTGTATAACTAACTAATTACTAATAATTACAAGATTTACTATGATCATTTATTTTGCCTTGATTGATAATAGAGTGTGAAATTCGATCACAAGTCCACTTGATTGATTGATGGAGGTCAAGAGACAACAAAGTAATCCTTGAGATTTTCTGATTGGGCATCAACAGTGTTGATGAACCTGCGATATAGTTGGACGATCAGTGTTGGATGTCTCTGCTCAAAGTATTGGAATGCTGATTGTTGTGAATCAAAGAATAAAGTCTTATGAGCATCCTTGAACAGTTCATGATGGTGTTGTATCGTGTTCCTGATGCATCGAATCAAGTCCTTCGTGCTTTTATAATCGTATTGTGACTCTGTTTTCATGATTAATTAATAGATGAGTTGGTTAGTTAAGTTGATTATTTGAGTGTGAGTGGGACACATACTGAGTTGATCAAGCAGCATGGAATCGATGGATTTGTTCCATGGAAAGAAGCTGAGGTAAAAATGTGGTTGGTTCTGGGTGGTCTGGAACAATCGATTGATGAATAGAATCCTCTTGTTGATGTCCCAGAAGAATGGATGATGGATCACCATGTTGATCGTAGGTCTAGCAGATGAATCCTTGGCAATCATCTGTTTGATTAGATCTGAGGCACATGGTTGATCGGAGAGTTTTTTGATGTCACACTTATTATTTAGTATCTTGGACACTCTGAGATGGACTTTGTCACCGAATGGATGACCTCCATCAGTGAGGATGTAGTACATGAGACATCCAAGTGCGAAGATGTCAACAGAGTTGGTCTTGCGTTGATTATTGATCACTTCAGCTGGGAAGTAACCACCGTGACCACTTGGAGCATGAGTGAATGCGAATGATGTCTCAACGGACATCTTGCTCAGTCCCATGTCAGTAATGAACAGGTGATTGTCTTTGAACAGGATGTTACGGGGATTGAGATCGTTGTGAATGATGTTGTTGTTGTGCAAGAATAGTACACCGTTGATGATGTCTTTGATCATTGAGTGTTTGTTCAATGATTGGAATCGATACTGGTGAGTCTCCACCAACTCTTGAAGTGACATCTCACATAATGATGTCGCCAAGAATATGAAGTCATCATTCTCCTCCATGCCAAAGAATCTCACCAAGTTGTCTGTGGCAGTAGATAGTGCCGTGAGTTGAATGAGTATGTCCACCTCCTTATCGATGAGTATGTTGAACTCCTTGTTCATCTGTTTGATTGCCACCGGGCACCTTGTCACACCACACACCCTTGTACACCCAGAGTGCCATTGCTTCCAACGTCCAATGATCATCTTCCTGCTGTACTTGAACTTGCCAACCTTTCTCTCGTACTGCTCACTTGACACCTCGGGCTCAGGCTTAACAACAGGTGGGGCCTCTACAATGTTTGATTGATGAACGATTGGTTGAGATGGCTCTTGATCCTCTTGGGTTGACAAAATCTCGGCCAGTGGCAGATCAACAAATGGTAGCGATACTATTCTGCGACCTTCCTTCTTAAGTCCTCTGACTATCACATCCTTATAATCATCAACGTATTGATTGAAGAATAAGTATCGTACGATATCATACTCTCCTTTGTCAACCAATCTTCTTTCAAAGTAAGGAGCTGGGTATACGCCACCTGCCTCACTAATTGAGATTATGGTGTCCAGGTCGAAGACGATGTCTCGGTGGCTAATATCCAATGGGTCTGGCGATACTTCTACTCGGACTGAATGATTGGTGAACATATACTCCATGAATCGAATGTCTGGAGAGGCATTCTCAATCAAGACTCGTTTGAGATAAAAGTCGAATGAGCTCTGAGCGTGCATGTAAATATGGTGCTTGAATCTTTCGCCAGAGATGAATTGCACCATCTCGAGATGGCCATTGAAAATTGCTTGCTCAACGGAAATCATGTAGTTTGCCCTGACCTCTGGCAATTGGCCATTAACACCAATCTTGTCCAGCAGGAACTGGAGGATGTCCACGTGACCGTGTGAAATGGCTCGATCAAACAAGGCAACCGACAAGTCATGCGTAGAGGGTCGGTATCCAACCGTGTCCATGATGAACTTGACAATGTCGAAGCGACCAAACCTGATGGCACCCACCAAGATGCCGTGCTGGATGACTGTGAGTGATTGCAGGCCACCTTTGTGATGAATGAACTCCAATGCATCCAAAACTACATATTCTGCATCGTCGTCGCCAACTTGAGGACACAGGAATGGCACTCCCACTCCATCTTGTGTGCATGCTTGGTAGATATACTCCAAGATGTCATTGTGCTTGCAATATGGCATCATCCTGATGCATACTGGCAAAACTGTTGTCAATGTTGTTTCGATTGATGGATTGGCAACATGT